CACTTCTCCGTCCAACGTGAGGCCGAGTCCCACGTACAGCAACTAGAAGGATGTGAACCTATGACATACAACTATCTACTGGGGCTTTGGGGGGAAAAAACTGAATAAATAAAATCTTTAAAAAAAAATATTTTTCCCTGTGGATTTTAAGTGATTATATACAAGTGAGCTCAATCAAAATAATAAGTATAATCACCAGATGCTATCCAGTGTTTGGAAATGGAGTACTTTAGGGCCGGCCCCTCGGCTTAGCGGTTAAGTGCGTGCGCTCCGCTGCTGGCGGTCCAGCTTTGGATCCCGGGCGCACACTGATGCACCGCTTCTCCGGCCATGCTGAGGCCGTGTCCCACATACAGCAACTAGAAAGATGTGCAGCTATGACATACAACTATCTGCTGGGGCTTTGGGGGACAAAAATAAATAAATAAAATTATTAAAAAAAAGAAAAAGAAAGAAATGGAGTACTTTATATGGCAAGTCTGTATCATTAGTTTACACTTTGAAGCACTTGCCAATCATATTTGCCACTGCAGATGCTTGTTTCAAACCCTGCTGGTTGAAAATGGATTCAAGTGGCTCTAAACATTTAGTTGACTGGTAGGATTGTTAATGTTCCTCTGACATAATCAGAAACTGAATTGTAATCAGAATGTTGAATGCAACTGATTTTCTCAGTCACAAAATTCAACTTTCATTTCCAAAATATTTGAGGTCATAGAACCCCTCCCCCTAATTCTGGGCTTAAATCTTATTCCACCTGAGAATAAAGTAAATTCCATCTACGACCAATCATTGCTATTAGTCTTAATAAAACTCAGTATTTTACGTAGTAAATTCTAGTATATCTAGCCAATTTCATAGGAAACGCATTGCCCTATAGAAATTTATCTGCTTGTTTTTCAAAATTATCAAGAAGAATACAAGGAAGTGTGTGTGTGTATGTGTATGTGTATTTGTATAAAATAACAAATTTTTATTCAATTCTATATTTTCTAAAAACTGCCTAGACTGTGAGTGAAGTTGACCAGTTATTGAAATGAGGAAGTGCTTGCGTGGCATTCCTACTGTTAAGTGGTAATTATTTATTTAATAAATTCTTAACAGCTTTTATAACTTAAAACTGTTCCTATTTTTAATCAATAGGAAAGAAAACAGGGAGAGGGCAGCGAAGAAACTATATAAAGTAGTAGTCCTCAACCACCAGCTCATAGATTTCTCACTGTCTCTTACAAAGAATTCACTGGTTTGCTGTGAAACAAAAATAAAGGGAGGAGAGATGGGCATAGGATATATTTCAAGACTAGAAATTATTCACATTTTGAGCATATATTTTAGCTGAGAGAGGAGACTTGGCTTTTTCTGATCCACATTGAAAATTAGCTATGGAAAAGAAACTCAGATTCTTGACTCCATCACACTATGAAATTATTAGTATATAGTAAAGTAAATTATTTAAGTGGGAACAAAATATGTTGGAACTCCCTCTCAACGTATCCACTACTCTATCTTTTTCATGTACTAATTATGCTTTTTCATCTTGTGTCTAATTGGGGCTTAATATATAAACTATACAATGTGAAAGACAAATAATTAATGATTTTTTTTTTCTTTAGATACATCCAGAAAGTGCCCAGAAGAAACTTCCTGCCAGAAAAACTGAAAAAGCAATATTCATAATACTGGAATTTGTGGATAATTTGTTAAAATGGCAGAAAGTAGTGAAAATAATAGTAAAAATGTAGATGTAAGGCCCAAAACTAGTCGGAGTAGAAGTGCTGACAGAAAGGACGGTTATGTGTGGAGTGGAAAGAAGTTATCTTGGTCAAAAAAGAGTGAAAGCTGTTCAGATGCTGAAACAGTGAATGCTATAGAGAAAACTGAAGTTCCTTTAAGGAGCCAAGAAAGAAAGCACAGCTGTTCATCTATCGAGTTGGATTTAGATCATTCCTGTGGGCATCGATTTTTAGGTCGATCTCTTAAACAGAAACTGCAAGATGCTGTGGGGCAGTGTTTTCCAATAAAGAATTGTAGTAGTCGGCACTCTTCAGGGCTTTCATCTAAAAGAAAAATTCATATCAGTGAACTCATGTTAGATAAGTGTCCTTTCCCACCTCGATCAGATTTAGCTTTTAGGTGGCATTTTATTAAACGACACACTGCCCCTATAAATCCCAAATCAGATGAATGGGTAAGCACAGACTTGTCTCAGAGTGAATTGAGGGATGGTCAGCTAAAACAAAGAAGAAACGTGGAAGAAGAGGTAAACTGTTTCCCACATACTATTGTTCAGCCCTGTGTCATAACCACCAACAATGCTTCATGTAGAGATGGTTCTATGACTGGCTCTGTGATGAACCTGGTTTCAAATAACAGTATAGAAGATAGTGATACGGATTCAGATGATGAAATTATAACACTTTGCACAAGTTCCAGGAAAAGAAACAAACCCAAATGGGAAATGGATGAAGAAATCCTGCAGTTGGAAACACCTCCTAAGTATCACACCCAGATTGATTATGTCCACTGTCTTGTACCGGACCTCCTTCAGATCAATAACAATCCATGTTACTGGGGAGTTATGGATAAATATGCAGCTGAAGCTCTACTAGAAGGAAAACCAGAGGGTACCTTTTTACTTCGAGACTCAGCACAGGAAGACTATTTATTCTCTGTTAGTTTTAGACGTTATAGTCGTTCTCTTCATGCTAGAATTGAACAGTGGAATCACAACTTTAGCTTTGATGCACATGATCCTTGTGTCTTCCATTCTCCTGACATTACTGGGCTCCTAGAACATTATAAGGACCCAAGTGCCTGTATGTTCTTTGAACCACTTTTATCCACTCCTTTAATTCGGACTTTCCCCTTTTCCCTGCAGCATATATGCAGAACAGTTATTTGTAACTGTACAACTTATGATGGCATTGATGCCCTTCCAATTCCTTCTTCTATGAAATTATATCTGAAGGAATATCACTATAAATCAAAAGTTAGAGTACTCAGGATTGATGCACCAGAACAACAATGCTAGGAATAGAGTAGGAACTTGGGAATGATTATATACATATTTTCATTTAATATTTTATTTTTCTTATTATGCCACTTTGAATTTTTCTACAAGGGCAGTTAAGAGTCCAAAATAAACCTCTGCCCTAAATTTTACTTCCAAATCAGTTTATTTTTCTTATGATACACTAATTGTTTAAGGTTACACATTAGGGGTTAATGGATATTTTTGACCAGGTGTTTGGTTTTTGTTTTTACCATGTAGATTGTATACTTAATTTTTTTTCTTTTCTTTTCTTAATTGTAATTTGCATATGATCCATGGACATTTGACATTTGGTAGGCATTGCAAACAGTCAAGTAATCTGTATTTCATACTTTCTTTAAAAATAATGTCCTTTTCTACATGTAAAATGCTTTAACCTATGCCATTGGTATTCCTATACATAAAATATAGTTTCCCCTTCTCAGAGTTGTTTTAAAATTTTTTGGTAAAGCTGAGTGTGTTGTAATTCACAATCCATACTAATGTAATTGACTTTTGTAATTTAATAATAGGGATGTTAAAGGTAACAAAATTGCTTAAAATCAAATTTGATGTGTTTTCATTTTAAATATTAACTATAAGCAGGATTACTAAATTCAGTTAATCTGGTCGGTAAGAATCAAATGAGAACATGACATTTTGGAGGTGAATTTATTCTTCCACAATGTGGCATGGTCATTTGTTATTCCTGGAATAGATCTTTCTCAACGTGGAAGAGTTACCATCTTGAGAACATAAATATTGTTCTTTTCTCACTGGAAGCTATAAAAATAATGATAACGCTATTAGTAACTAGTAGTTACTAAAGTACTAAAGCAATTGTGAGGTTTTTCTGTATTTACTTATGAATTGTTGCTTCTACTTAGCCCTTTTATAGAAACTCTGAGCCTGTTACTTTGGGGAGATGCTACAGTTTATAAACAACGACAAATTTCCATTGGTAACTAAAGAGTACCTAAGTAGTTTTTCATTATTTTAAATTAAGCTTGAATAAAGATTCAAGAAGTAAATATGGAGCTCAGTATTCAGGAAGCTTAATACTGTTTTTGATCTTCAGGTTTCAAATAATTATTCCTGTCTTCAGAATTAACATGTCTTTATTGTGGCTTCAAAAAAAGGAAAACATATTGAGAGCTACATGGCTTATGCCATACTGAAGAGTACTGGGCACCAGTGTAATATTTTAAATTTACTATCCCAAGAGCAGGGAAACATTTTTAGAAACATCAATATCCCAATATAATAAAGATACATGGAGTGATAGCCTATGCTACTGCTCTTTTTTAAAGAATCGATGAATAATAAATTTCCTAGACAGTTGTTTCTTCTGGTGAACTATCTACCCCTTTGTACAAATTGGCATTTTAAATATCGTAGGAATTGATTTCTTGATGATAGTTTAGCTCTAGTAGGAAGCTGCTTCTACCCAGATTGAAAGAAATTTGACTCAAATTTCCAAGTTAGAACAGATGTTTCTTAAGTATCATTGCTTTTATGTTGAAGTAACATTTCCCTTTCTGAAGTTCTGCTGTTAACATAAAGATGCCATTTTTTGTCTCAGTGATCTCAACATTGTCTTGGTTCCAGTGAGGGTTAGCTACTAATATGGCACCTCTCTTAGCAGTGATGAGGCTCAGGATATCATAACACCAATGTCAGGATAAATATCTCTTCTGAAGATGATATTTCCCTTTACAAAAGTAGAAAAGTCTCATACTACCTCATCTTTATTGTGGCGCTTTTGTAGATCACTGAGAAGCTGATCTTATTTACCAATATAACACTTCCTAAATATCCATCTTTGGTGAAAGAAAATTAATAGTATGGTGAGACTCTACCCATGATTATAGTTTTTTATCAGAATTTGATAATGAGACTTTCTGTTTCTGTGAAACAATTACTTTAAATATTTTTCTTTTAAAAATAACTTTTTATCAGTACAGAAAAACCTAAGGGATGACTAGCTAACAAATATTCTGTTAAAGGGTAATTTTATAAAGAAAAATGAAATATAATTATGTTATCTTTTATAATGGTAAAAATTAGTGTTTATATGAAAATCAAGATCTAAGTAGCTTTTCATATATTCAAACTGGTCACTTATGATATATTTTCTCTGGCTTTCTTATTTTTTCAACTTTAAGGTATTAATAGCTATTTACATTTTCAAAATACTGCCATATATATAGCCTTGAAGTGGATGATCTAATAAATGAGAACAGGGAAGAGACTCATTTACTCTGAAATGGTTTGTATTTTTCCTTTGGTATTTGCTACAGTGAAAAGAAATCTGGAAAGTGGAAATATCAAGTCTTGAGAATTATTTACCATGAAGGAAAAAGAAAAGAGTAATAATAAATTAATTTTTTAAAGCATTAAGGGATTGGAATTTAGAAAGGCTAACCCCTTTCTCAGTAAGAGCATCCATTTAGAAACTAACTCATTTAAAAAATGTAGTTATTGGAATATGTAAGTAAAATGAGTAAGTTTTGAGATGAACAATGTGGGAAGATAGAAATATATCTAAATAAAAATTTTGTAACTCTAAGTTGGATGCTGTGAGCATTTGAAAAGTGTAAATTCCAGAGTTGAGAAAGCATTCAACATGGTGGAAATGTGTAGAGCTTATTGGTGAGAGATGATGGGGCTAAAAGAAACAAGATAGAATATTAAAAATTAAGAATTTAGACATTACCTCAGGGAAAAGCCTTGACAGTGAAAGAGAACTACTTAATCGCTAATAGCTAGTCTGGACTACACACTTAACTGAGCTTTGGGAATCATCCTGCACTAATCAGGAAGTAAACTTGACTTTTCTATTTCTCTCTGAAGCTTTTCAGGCCATACCCCTCCCACCCTTTTTTTTAAGCTACAGCATCTTGATTTATAATTCCTGAAATATGCTGAATGGATTTTTTTAGGTTCCATGAGCATTTTTATATGAAGAATCATATGTGATCTTTCTATACCCATGCCATTCACTTAATTCATAGAGGGAATGGTTTAATTTAAAGGAAGACCTACTAGGAAGAAGATTAAAGGAAGCTTTTAGTCAGCCTGTGGCTAGATTTATTGATTTGGTGATCAGACCTGTGTTCTTTTCCTGAATTTCAGCTAATGGCAAACTGTGGTCAAAGAATTGCTTTCAGTTAAAGTTTTGACTTATTATAAATAATATAAAGAATCTCAGTAATTAGAAATCCTTTAAAAAGCAGAGCAAATATGGCAAATAGAACTCATATCATTATACAAATTCCATTTCTTTTTATAAGAAAAACACAAACCATTATCATTTATTCATGTGCCAAAGCCATTAAGAACATAAATCAAGTTATCAGCTTCCTGTCTCTCTGAAGTTTGGATCATATTATAGATCCACGTAATAGAGAGCTTCCTTCCTGTGAAACAAAAACCTTGAGACCTAACTTACAAATATACTCAGTTTTCATTAAAAATTTTTTGTCACTTTTAGTTATAATCAATCAGTCAAATAGGTCATATATAGATTTTGGTAGAGCAAATCTCACAGGAAAGTAGACTTAATTATGAGACATTCCTGGAGACAACACAAGGAAAACAGTGTTTAAATGTAAAAATAGCCTGTGTGTTAGATAATTTAATGTCCAAATGAATAAAAGATTTTAAGTCAAGCAGATTATTATTCCTACTTTGGAAAAAAAAATCTTTACAATTTTGGTTTAACATAATCAGTTTTACATTCATTTTTATTTCTAAAGAAGGAACACAAAGCACAGAAGTTTTTACTTTTCTTTTTTAATGGCCTACGAGAAAGGAGCAGAAATGAGCAACACTACAAGAGTCTGTCTGTACTATTCTAATACATTAAGATATTGGACACAAAATGGATGTAACTTTGAAACTGATTGGCTTCTAAGTAGAAATGTAAACTAATGGATATAACCCAATGGGAAGGGATTTAGGGCACATGAGTCCTATTTCAAATAAAGCCAGGGTCTATTTTTGATTTACTTTTTAATTTTGAATAGATTACTCAATCCTCAAGCTTTGCCTTCATTTCCTAGCATATAAAATGTAGGTAATAATACTTGTCACTTAACTTCCTGAAGGATAATTCTTCAGTTAAGAGGTGACCCTTGAAGCATACTTGAAAATAATTTCTGTACAGCTGTTAAGTACTAATGTGATGATAGGTTTTCAAAGCATCTCCTTAGTGGACCCTGCAGATTCACATTCACTCTTTTAGTTTGTAATAGGCTTTCTTGGCTTGATTTGACAATAGAGATAACAGTACAATTTGAATTTATGGTTTAGAGTCTGCAATTAGATGAACAGTTGCAATTTCCTCCTACCCTTAATAAGGTTTATGTAAAATTGATGTTTGCCTAACTTATTTTAAAAGTTAATTACATTTGCAGGAAGTAAAGATAATCGCTTTTGCTGTGGTTATAATCAAATCTAAGCTTTCAGACTTGACAGTGTAAAACTCAAGGAGGTTTACTTAAATTATGCTGACTTTGCTAGAATTGGATAAATTCTGTATAAAGCAAGTATGAATCTGATACATACTTGAATATACAGAGTTTAAGCAGTGACATCACAAAGCTGTTAGAGCTCTCAACAGTCAGGTTTGTATGATCCACCTCTTACCCACAAAGTAGACTTTTTCCATTTTTATTTCTAATCCTGAAGTTGCATGTTTCTTCTCGGATGTGAGTTCAAATAAATTGATCTGAATAAATTTTCATTTCTTCTTAATTAAAACTTCATATATAAAATCCAAAGACTTTGTATTTTGTTTTAAAAATGTATAGCCTTAACCTCACACGTTCAATTTAGAATCTGAGAAAGAAAAATTTAAAACTCTATATTCTTACATATTTTCTAATGTATAATACACTCCTTTCAGTTTTAGTGTGTCAGTTTGGTTCTTCCAGAGGCAGGTGCCAAGATGTAATTAAATGTGCAAGAGATTTATGGGGAGGGGGGACACCTATGAAGGATAAAGGGGAAGGGAGCAGGAGAAAGTTGGCAAGTCTTCATACCACATTGCATGGCTGACATCTGTGAAAGAAATGGAAGGATTGGGTAGGGTGGGCTTTAGGCTGCAGTGCAGTTCTGAAAAAGCTAGGTGGGGATTTAGTTCCCAAGCAAAGGTTACCTGTAGGAGCCCACCTGGGACAGGAAAGGCCTAGC